TTACAGATCTTCTTTATGCACCAAGAGCTTGTAACACTTCAAAGAGAAAGGAAAAATTGAAATCGCATCATATGACCCCTTTAATTTATGCATTGGTGAAAAAAAAAAAAGGCAAAATACATGGGGAAAACAAACTGTGAAAAACCATGTTTGGGATTCGGCCTTTGGCCCAGTGTTTCATTTTGTTTGGTTTCAGCTTCGGCCAAGAATTTTGATTTTGGTGCATCCCTAGTTTAAATAGGGATTTTTACTCATACTGTGATATTATTATAAAATATATTTTTATAATATGTATAATTTAAGTTATCATCGAGCAATTGGTTTGAAGTCCTGTGATAAACCACAGCAGGGTTTGAACATTCAGCCTTTTAGGCACCAGGTCCAATATATGTCCAATAGGCTTAAAGAAGGGTGCATAATCCCAGAATGCTGTGGCAATTTCTTAGAAACTGAACCAGTTTAATAAAGCCACTAGTAGTCTGTTTTTGTTTATAGTGTGTAAGCAGAGCTTTTCAGCTGTAAAAAAGTGGCTTGTCCAGTGTATTCGATAGTCACATGCATTCAAGATTGTGTGAACTGACACATACTACACACACCTCCCATAGCTGCATGTCTGTGTGTTGTCTGTGAATGTGCGCTGTGGTCCGCAGGGGTCAGGAGATCGACTGTCCTTCAGACAGAAGGTGGACCTGCTGTCCCAGAATGCTACACCTATAGACCAGCTGTTTGAGGTGAGCACCGCTATAAAGCCTCTTTGTGTAACCAGTTTCAACTTTACTGCCCACTTCCCATGAACACCACAGGAAGAAATATTATATTTAGTACTCATAGTAAGAGCTTTCCTGCGAAACCAAAGACTGTTTCTCATAATTGATCACTGAGACATCATTGCCTTATTTGAGCCTTATTTTTGACTGGTGCAAGAGCAGGAAGTAAAACCTTATACTCGTTTATACTACTGTATGTATGTATGTATGTATCTTATACAATGTTGAATAAGATGAATTGATACTAAGTATGTGTGTGTATATGGGCAGCACATTGTGAGTGGAAATGAGGCTGAGGTGAAGCGTTTGCTGAGCGAGAGTGAGAATGAGGAGGACGGGAGGAAGTTATGTCACCCACTCTGTTCCTGTGACGCCTGTGACCGCCACATCTCAGGGTCAGTGCTGACGAACATCATACATATCATCCACACAATAAATGCAGAGGAGCTTTTGAACTGATCTGGGTCCCACTTTATATTAGGTGTCTATTAGGTATCTTAGATGAATACTGTGTACTTAATAATACAATAATGAATTGTTAGGTACAATGTACCTATTGTGTTCACGTTAAATTGCAAAACACTTTTGCTGCTATCGAGGAGGGATATGGTTAACATTAGGGACAGGTTTGGTGGTTTAGCTAGGTTTAAGGGGTTGAGGTTGGGTCAACAGTATAATTAGAGATTTAACTGCAAAAAAATCATTACAGATGTAATTACAGGATGCTATTTTCAAATGTAAAAACACGTATATGCATTGTAAGTGCATTGTATCAAATAATCAATTTAAATGTGAGTACATAGTAGTAAAGGACACTTAATATAAAATGGGTCCGTGATCTGAAATTTTGCATTAATTTCTTTTAGACAGCACTTACCTGTTCTACATTTTATTAAATAAGTAAAAGACTTGAAATTGTATTAAATAAAGATTTATTTATTTATTTATTTTTACACTACAGGCTTTATCACAACTGTATGCCTCTTCAGCTTTGCTATCAGATTCAGTTTGATACAGTAATATTAATGGTGTGTTGGGCTGATAACCACCACAGGCTGAACATATTAGAAAGCATGCAGTTTGAATGTAGGCCTACTTGCCTCATTATTTATTAAAGTATTGCTTTGCTTGTCTTTCTTGGTTTAGGAGGTTAAACGACCCGTCCATAGTCACTCCATTCTCTCGGGATGACAGAGGCTATACTCCTCTACATGTTGCTGCTATTTGTGGTGAGCACTGACTTAATTTAGTTTAGTTTTTTTGTTTGTTTATTTTGTTTGGTTTATTTTGGGTTTTGTATTGTCTTTTTTGTTTAGTTTTTGTTTATATAAATACATATTTTATTTTTTATTGTTTACTTCATTAGTTGGTTTATGTTTGGTTTTTGTTTTACTTTGTTTTTGTTCAGTTTGTTTACTTTTTTCCGGTTTGTTTTGTTTTATTAGTTTTTTTTTGTTGTTGTTGATGTTGTTTTTTCACATCATGCCTGGTATTTTATAATGGGTTAGATTTTGTTGTATTTTTGTCTTTTTTTTTTAAATGCTACCATATGAATCTGTAGCTTTAACACAGAGTTGACGGATAAATGTTGTGGCTTGTTCTCCTGTGTTGTGCTTGTGATCAGGTCAGTCCCTGCTGATTGATTTGCTGGTGTCAAAGGGAGCTGTGGTGAACTCCACCGATTATCACGCGCTCACACCGCTGCACCTTTCCTGCCAAAAGGGCTTCCAGGGTGTCACGGTCAGAACTTAACCTCACTCATACTAATAATGATCTTGTAGATTTGTAGCTGTGATGAACAGAGTTACAAAACTGTGCAGCTAGTTCCTAGCATCCAACATCACTTCAGTCTGTGGTATTTCTTCTTGCATAATTAAAAATGAATCTTATCACATTGTCCTTCAATTGTTGTTTCATTGATCTTCCTGTTTGCTCTTGTAGCTGCTGCTCTTGCATTATAAGGCAAACACAGATGCTCAGGATAACAATGGAAACACCCCTCTACACCTGGCCTGCATGTACGGGCACGAAGATGTAAGTCTTTTTCTTTCTTTCTTTCTTTCTTTCTTTCTCATAATCAAACGATCTGTTTAACAGACAAAACAATATGACCACGTAATGAAAACTGTTACTCACACTTATGTTGCGACATTACTGTTGGATCCAATATAGTCGGCACAGCATCGTCTTTTAGTTTCGGTCTTTCTGAAAATCCTGCGTTGAATTGTGCCTTGTTTGTAAACGAATCCACGGTAAAATGTGCACAAAGGACCGAGTTCTTACTGACACAGTCTGGATCTTCATTAAAATGTCAGTTCACCGTAAAATTAGCCCGTGATTTACTCACCCTCAAGGCATCCTAGGTGTATATGACTTTCTTCTTTCAGACGAATCCAATCAGAGTTATATTAAAAATTGTCCTTGCTCTTCCAAGCTTTATAATGGCAGTGGGCAGGTGTTCCTGTTCAACAGTCCAAAAGAAGTCAAGTAAAGTGCATCCATCTGTAATAAAACGTGCCTCAAACTGCTCCGGGGGGTGGATAAAGGCCTCCTGTAGCGAATCGAAGTGTTTTTGTAAGAAAAATATCCATATTTAAAACTTTATAAACTCTTTTCTCTCACTTCCACTAACCGTCGTACATGCGAGCCATTCTGGCAGATGGCGTAGGACATACGCGTAACGCATGCGCCTGTGAGATATGCTAGTCTCGCGAGTTTGTTTAAAGGAGCAAAGGAAGCAAGGTTTCCTTACTTTAGCAAATGAAAACCAGTCTCCTCTTGGTTTATATTGAAATCATCCTACATTTTTCTTTACAAATCCTCGTTTTGTACTTCTAATTCGTTACCGGCGTTTTGTTTTGCTGTCTCTCCTCCGCGCTTCCGCGTTCATCACTAATCACCGGAGCTTACGCTATGCCTACGTCCTACGTCAACGATTCGCTACAGGAGGCCTTTATTCAACTCCCGGAGCTATGTGAGGCACGTTTTATTACGGATGGATGTGCTTTATTTGACTTCTTTTGGACTGTTGAACAGAAAAACCCGCCCAGTGCCATTATAAATTTTGAAAGAGCCAGGACAATTTTTAATAAAACTCTGATTGGATTCGTCTGAAAGAAGAAAGTCGTACACACCTAGGATGCCTTGAGGGTGAGTAAAGCATGAGCTAATTTTCATTTTTGGGTGAACTAACCCTTTAAAAATAAAGTTCATTCACTCTTTCCTAACGTTGGGATCAGAAGGAAGACAATGCAAAGACTGTTTTTCCACAACTTGGCACTGCACAGCATTTGGTGTCTTCAGAGCCTTCTTTATAGTTTGGATTCTGCGTTTGCCTCTCGTTATTTACACTACCTGCGTGAATCGGTGGGCGGGGCTAACAGGCAGTGACAAATAATCAGTGGGCAGAGCTAAACAGGCAGTGACGAAGAATCGGTGAGCGGAGCTAAACAGGCAGTGACGAAGAATTGGTGGGCGGAGCTAGACAGGCAGTGACGAAGAATCGGTGGGCGGAGCTAAACGGGCAGTGACGAAGAATCGGTGGGCGGGGCTAAACAGGCAGTGACGAAGAATCGGTGGGCGGAGCTAGACAGGCAGTGACGAAGAATCGATGGGCGGAGCTAAACAGGCAGTGACGAAGAATCGGTGAGCGGAGCTAAACAGGCAGTGACGAAGAATCGGTGGGTGGGGTTAAACTGGCAGTGATGAAAAATCGGTGGGTGGGGCTATACAGGCAGTGACGAAGAATCTGTGGGCGGAGCTAAACAGGCAGTGATGAAGAATCAGTGGGCGGATGTAGGAGTGGGAATCTTTAGGCACTTCACGATCCAATCCGATTCCGATTCTGGGAGTCACGATCCGATTCCAAAACGATTCTTGATCTACATTTTTTTCCTAATTAATTCTTCTGCTGTGCAAATACATCTTTACAACTTTACATTTTAACCAACATTGCTGTTTCTATGCTTTTTGTTTATAGTTGGATGTCAGTACTGCCATCTTAAAAATAGGGGTGTGAATCTTCACTGGTTTCACGATTCAATTCAATTACGATTATCATTATCAACTCAATATCACGATGCGTCACATTCTCAGTTTTCAATATTGCTGCACATGGCTACATTTTCATATAAATGTTATATCAAATTTAATTTGTGCAGAATTTACTTTATTTTTTTTTTATATAAGCAGACTATTTTTTAAAACAATTACTTATTTAAAATAAGTGTACTTTAAGTATCCGAAAGTTTACAGACAATAGGCTAGTTATGGGTTTTACTTTTTTCCTCAGCATTATTGCCATTTGATTATTATTGATGAGATCATAGAGAGTGGCAGCTTTAACAGGCTGCATTTACACTAATGCACAGATCTATTTCGATATATCAGATGTTCTGTCCTGCTCTGAAAACATAACTGACTGCATTTACATAAATTTCATATAAAAGTATATGCAAGCGCATTTAACCGCAACCGCGATCGAGCTTCAGGACAACAAACACAAAGCGCACGTGAAAGTCTGTCAGTGCGCGAGTTACGTGCATCTAATAGTACTGCATTCCAAACTGCATAAATTAATCAATGCATATCTAAAGTAAAACACGGCGGGTGGAAGCACACACTGTCAAGCAATGTGCACGTGTCTCACAGTGCAAATTCTGTGCAATGAAGCCCGCCGCGTCTCTAGCGCGCACGTGCCACTTGCGGAAAAAAAAACCAAGCTCAGAATCGATTCTGAAATATTCAGAATAGTTGAAAAGAGAATCGCGATGCATCGGAGAATCAATTTTTTCTTCCACCCCTAGGATGTACGTCATGGATTGCGTTGCATGAGTGCCCACTACTGGCGGAACCCTTGGAATGGGCTGAATTGGAACGTCCTAAGTCCTTGATCACTTTAGAATTTGCTATGGAGCTGGTTTATTGTTTACATTTTTCCACTTACAAATTTCTTTGGTGCAGCATTCTATATGTATATAGGTATGCTTGGGCTGTTATAAATGTTAAAAGATCTGTAATTCTATAAACAAATGATATATTATAGAGTTGTTTGGGTGGGGATAAATTAAACGCGATCTGCGATGACGTCATAATCGTGTTGCATCGTGGTCCACAGAGCGGCTTGAAGTGTGCATATGAAGCTGACTTGCTCCTTTGGTCAAAATCGAGGGTTCGAGGGTCTGTTCATATAAACTTCCCTCATCCACTTCAAAATGGTAGTGGGGATTCCCCCCGAGGGGAAGTGCTTAGGGAAGTCCGCGAGTGTGTGTCAAAACATAGTGGAACGCAGCCGTAGAATCGGTGGGCGGGGCTAAACAGGCAGCGATGTAGAAGCAGGCATTGATCTTCTTCTGCGGAGGCGGTGCTTATCCACACTATTACATCATAGAGTAGAACATTCCACGAGCTGTCGTTTTGGCAGACTGGCTTCAATATAAGAGAAAGTTTTTAATTCTGAAACTTGCAGGATGTTTTTATAGTACACTGACCTCTTATATGTCTTATATATTGGTTTCTCAGTTCATGACCCCTTTAATAGAAGAAAATACATTTGTGAACATTTAGCTTACAAGTGGGTTATTTTGCTTCTTAAAAGTTGTGTTTCTGTGATGGACTGTAGAGATGTGTGTAATGTCGATATTTCGTTCTTGATGTGAATGTGTGTCTCAGTGTGTGAAGGCGCTGCTGTACTTCGACCTGCACTCCTGTCGACTGAACGTTCAGAACGATAAGGGAGACACGCCTCTGCACATCGCCGCTCGCTGGGGTTACGAGGGCATCATGGAGGTGCTCCTGGAGAACGGAGCATCAACCCTCATCCACAACAAAGCCAAGGAGACTCCATTACACTGTGCCCTCAACTCCAAGGTTAGAGTTTGTGGCTTTAACACACCTACAATCGTGGAGCAAACGGTTCGTTTCACTGTCAGCAGGAAGTCATTTTGTGAATGTTGTATTATCTGTGCTATAGATTCTGTCATTGTTGGAGCGCAGACACAATGACTCCAGTAAAAGGGAAAGTGGATTCGAGGTGAGTTCAAATATCCTTTCAGTTAGATTCCCAGTTTTGTTTTGTTTTTTGTCTGCCAAACCCCTTCACACTTGGCGTCTTTTTTGACAAGAAAAAGTTGACGAGTGCTTTTTTAGTAATATAAAAAGCTGGCAGCGTTTTGGTTACAAATAGCAACCGAGGGCGTCTTTTGTTGCTATAACAACAGCTGCAACAGTAGCCTAGCGCTATATGCTGCAGAAATGTCGAGAAAGAGTAAAAAGTTGGCTCTTGCGTTGCCTTTTGAAGTTAACGGGGAGGAGAATGTCGGTTCACAACGATGTTTGTGGGTGCGTGACATTATACGGGGAAGGAAACAGTATGGTGCTTACAACAATTTAGTCCAGGAGCTCCGGTTGAATGATGCACGGTTTGTGGCATATTTTAGACTAAGTTAGATACAGTTTTGTGCTCATATAATACAACTCCTTGTGCTCCGAAACTAGTACGAACTAATCTACCGGCTATCTTTTCCATTTTTCTTGTTGTTTTTGTTGTTATGGAAACGACTCGCCACTCGCTTGCCATTGGTCAGCTGTCAAAAGGGCGTTTTTTTTCAGAAAAGTTGAACTTTTTTTCAACTTGAAAAGACGCTCTGAGCTGCAGAAAAAGACGCCGGCGGTGACGTTTTAAAAAGCGCTCAGGACTTTTTTGAAAACACGGTTTACTCCATAGGATTATAATGTAAAACAGACGCTGGCAGCTTCAAAAAAGACGCCAAGTGTGAACTAGACATAATATGTTTACTTAAAGTATATGTTTTGCCACTCATTCATGTCTCAACCGTTGAACCCATTCTGACAAGTTGCAAAACGTCTTGAGCAACAGAGAAAGACAAATAACTGTACTGGATGATTTTGTGCTGACCTGGAGAATCTTTACAGAGAAGGTATTTTAGCAGCAGACCTTTTGATAGACTGTAGTCTCCATTTCTGCTTTCAGTCTCCGAGTCGCTCTCCTCAGCCGTCTGACTGCAGCAGCAGGCGTTCATCTATGTCCAGCATGTCTTCACTCAGTGTTGCGGCCACACCGCCGGAGACCGAACGCACTCGACACAAAGAGGTACAGCAGCGCCATCTGGAGGACAGGTCATAGCGTTACACTTCTCCTGTTACAAGACCAGATGAGATCAAATAAGCCCTTATTGAGCGAAATTAAGCACCACAAATGACTGCAGATGCAAAGACAAAAATGTCATCTCAAAAACTTATTTTTTATGTTTTAACTCTTATTATAAAAATCAAGACAGAAACATATCACTGATGTAAATTCCAATTATAGTGTAAAAAATAAATATATGATCATAAAATAAATTGTAATGATCATATATTTATTTTTTACTTTTCTTAAATCTTAAATTTCTTCAAGCATTCAAACTCTAAAGCTTTGCTCAGAGGGAAATTCAGCACCAAAAATGACTGAAAATTTAAGTTAAAATTGCCATTTTATCATCATATAATCACTTAACAATTAATGTGCCTGGAGACAATTGTTGTCATTTTTACTTGCAGACACCCAGCTATGTTATGTTTTCTCTGTCCTGTGTTTGGTGAACAGGTGGAGAAGTTGTTGAGAGCCGTGGCTGATGGAGATGTGCAGATGGTGAGCTCATTTCGGGTCACATAAACCTTGTTAAAGAGGATTCTGTCTTGCTTTAATCTTGCTTTAATAATAATAATAACAACAACAACACAGAATGACAGTATAGTGTGTGTGTGTGTGTGTGTGTGTGTGTGTGTGTGTGTGTGTTTTAGGTGTGCACATCTGCGCAAGATAATAATGTAATAAACACTTTCACACCCAAAATAACAGCCTCAAAACTTTGTTGTTGTTGTTTTTTTACCCCATCCACTGCATCACATGTTTTTAAATGAAAAAAAGTACTCTGTGATTGGTTTTCGGTCCTTTGTATTAAACTATGCATACATACATGATGCTGTTTTGTTTTTAATTGTTTAAGCAACTTAAGTAATTATATTTGGTTTATAAACATTATTTAAACATGCACTTTTTTTCAAATATAGTCGTGTTATTTTATTGCTTTGAATAAAAGTGTGTTAGTAATATTTTACTCAGTGCGCCCTCTTGTGGCCTCAGGAGAGAAGCCAAAAGTGCCCCCCCCCCCCTCAGCCATTTTGACAGCCCTAGTGCCCAGGCAGTCAGTTTCTGATATAATCTACAAAAGTAGGTTCATATGAATTTAGAAGCATTTTGTGGTAACTGTGAGTCTGTGTGTGTTCAGAAAGCAGCCCACCTGCAGCCGGACGGTGTGGGTGTGAACAGCAGTGCTGACGGCTTCACTCCGCTCCATGTGGCGGCGCTGCACGGACACACAGCTCTAGTGTCTCTCTTCACCCGCCACGGTGCCAACATCAACGCCCGCAACAATCAGAGCGCCACCCCGCTTCACCTGGCCTGCCAGAACAGCCAGATACAGGTGCGCAAATCCTGACCAATCACAGACCACCTCTCATAACAACAATACTGCTTTGAAACCAGTGTTTAAGCACTAGCTTTTTAATATCTAATAACTCATTGTGCATATTCATTTATATATGCGCACTTCAGTTAAAAAGTTTGGGTCGATAAGACTAAGACTTTATCCAGGGTCACACCCCTAGAGTCTACGAGCGTGATGTAGCTCATAATTGTTCAAGTGTATGATATAGCTTTCATTCTTCAGGTCAATCATGTATTCATAAAATAAAATCAATTTGAATAAGGAAAGCGATAACTTTGCCATAGTATCCTTTTAAATGTTAAAGTGGCCACAGTCATTGCATGCTTTGCTTGTGCTGCACTTTATTTGTACCTTTTTTTTTTATTAGTTTATTTATTAGAATTTGAAAGATAGAAATATTGTTCGATTTTAGTCCTTGAAAACCCAAAAAATAGTGCTTGAAAAGTCCTTGAAAGTCCTGGAATTTCATTTAGCAGTATCTGTACGAACCCTATTTATCCATCCATCCATCCATCCATATCTCTCTCTCTCTCTCTCTCGCTCTCTCTCTCTCTCTATATATATATATATATTAGTGCTGTCAAAATTAGCGCGTTAACACAGGCGATTAATTTTTCCAGGTTTACGCCATAAAAAATATTTAACACAGTTAACGCAGGGGCGGAGCTAGGGTTAGCCACCCCACTCACAGCTGCTGCTTCTGTCTCTTTTTCTTGACAAGAATTGCATTTATTTCGTCGCAGAACGTCTTTATGACCACATCAAATGGGAGACTTTTCAGTCGCGCACTCCACTCGCCAGGCAAACGAGTGCAGAAACGGTACAGGTGACGAGGAGCTTCATCAGTAAACTGCAGTCAGATGAGATGTTGTCAGGCCATATATCAGTAAAAATGAATTTTCCCGTCCTGTCAGCTGTTATACTGTGCTCGTAGCACGTGCTCTTCGGTTGCATGCACAAATGCGCCGGTGTGCTGTATATCATTTCATATTAAAGCGTATAAATAATAAATAATTCATATTTCATTTCATAATAAAAAATTATATATTAAAGGCTGTGAGAAAACACGATGCGTGTCACATCCGCGTCATGTTCATCAGCATCTCTTAAAGTAATAGCAGCCAAAATAACCCATCTGCTGTGATGTCTGTTAATCAAAGTACAAAAGAAAACAGAAGAAGCAATAACTTTGTAGCTTTAAGGATTCGTCTATATTTAATTTAGAATTTAGTGTTTGATAACTTTATTCAATTTTTGTATATTTCCTACTTGCTGAAGGGCACAGGTAAATATGATATTTATTATAATGGGTTGGAAAGATGAAGATGGTTTTAAGTTCATTTAAATTAGTTGTTGTTATTTAGTCTAATATATGTTCAAATTGTTAGCTCTCAATTATACTGTTAGTATAGTCAACATTGCAAATAGTCAATGGTTAAATATTAGGGGAAAAAAACAATTTCATAGAGACATCAGTAGTATTGGTATCAGTTTCCATTACCCTTCAAATTGCGCAAATTGAAATTGCGAATTGAAAATACGCCTAATGGAAATGCACCAATTTTGCAAAAAATGCCCATATATCGCAAAAAAGTTTTTACGCTCGCATGAGGTGCTTTTTCAGGCAATGCGAAAAAGGAATAATTCACAAAACTGCAATGGAAACGTTTTTTTTTCTTTTCTCGCATTTACAGGTCACATGGCGTATGTAAAAAGTCATATGATCATTCTTCAATGTACTATAACCTCCAAGAAACACTTCATGCGTGGCCTCTCTCCAGTATAAGGGGCTTTCCTTGCCATTAATGCTTAGACAATTTACACTGCAGACGTCTGCGGTGCAGTGTGGCTCTGATACAGCATCTGAAGCTGATTGCGGCCACTCTAGTCGATGCTTGTGTTTATTCCAGCCAGTATATATAGTGGTTGAGCTGTTTCTTTTTTTAACATCAATAGTTTGAGCCTGTGTGTGTGTGTTACAGGTGGTGTCTGCTCTGCTGGAGTGTAATGCCAAACTGAACAAGAAAGATCAGTATGGAAACACACCGCTGATTCTTGCTTGTCTGAAGGGAAATCCGGAGCTAGCCACCATTTTGCTTGAGGTACGTACTGGACACCCTTGATGTGGATCAGAGCGGTGCGCTGGTGAATCTGGCTAATAATCACGGTAACACTGGTCTGCATGAGGCGGTGAGAGGCGGACACATCCAACTGGTGGACCTGCTGCTGCACAGAGGAGCTTTAGTGCACATGCGCAACAAGAGACAGCGGACCGCCCTCGACTGCGCACACGAGACCGCCGGGAAGGTGTGTGTGGGTGTGTCTGTCTGTCTGTGTGTGTGTGTGTGTGTGTGTGTGTGCGCGCGCTCAGCTACAGCTGCAAACCTTATACACATTTATTTATGCTTTAAATAGACTCACAACAATCCTGTAGCTGGACACTCGCTTATCAGTAAATGATGAATGCAAACTTTTCTAATGAATAATTTAGGTAATTTAAATTAGGTGCATAAGTAGTGTTTAACAACATGTTAAACATTGTTGTTGTCTTTCTCAAACCCTTGTGTTTCCCACAATTCTTTTTCATTCTTTTTTTTTTTTTTCTGTGACAGTGTCGTCATTAAGATCAAAAACGAGCAACCAAAAACACAGTTTTTTTTTTTACTGTGAAACTCAACTAGATAATGAGATCTCAATTTTGAGTTAAATTTCAAATTTTCTCATGTACAGTATTTCATATGTACAATGTTTTTCAAGTGACTTTTTTTGTTTTTGTTTTTTTACCTGACTCTTTAGTGTTTGTCAAAGTGTTGATTTTTGGCAAATTGCAGGGAAACCACTGGAGGGTCAGTTTGACCCCAACACAAAAGTCATGACAAACTCTGTACAGCCTTTCCAAAACACATCAGTGTGTTGAAACTTTGCAGTGACATTCATGACCCTAAATGAAACATATTCACAAAACCTCAAGAAGAAATAAGTAGTTTAACCAGTATTTTGAGCAGTTTGAAAATCAAATTGACCCCAACACAACAATAGGGTTTAAAGATGTGCCACATTTTGAAAGAAAAAAGAAATGATTTGTCTGTATGTTTCTGTTTCCTCAGAATACAGAGATTCAGAGACTCCTGCAGAAAGCCTGTGCTGACGTTCCGGACGTTCATCCGGTCAAACCACACTCCAGAGGAACAGAGGGCATTGTGGGTAAGAATCAGATATTTGATATTTGTACTTTTATTTCATCTCAACACTCTAGTAGGCTATGATGAACATAGTATTATATGATATGCATTGCATTATGAATTTATGTTGTGTAATTAAACTGAACTCTGTTATTTCTCCAACAACATAATCAATAGTTCAAAGAGTTAAACGGCATGAGAGTCCCAGCAGTGGCAGAAAAGACGCAGACCTCACAAAACAAAGGTACATTTACTGTCAATTAATGACTTGTTTATTAACATAACATTGAGGGGAAAAAAAATATCTTCTCTGCAGTTCAAAAGTTTAGGTCAGAAAGATTTGTAATGTTTTTTGTAGCCTTAATGACCAGTCTCTTCTGGTCATTAAGGCTACATTTATTTGATCAAAAACACAGTAAAAACTGTAATATTGTGAAATATTATTGCATTTTCAACTGCAATTGTTTTGTATTTGAATATGTTTAAAAATGTCATTCATTTCTGTGATGAAATCTGAATTTTCAGCATCATTACTCCAGTCTTCAGTGTCACATGATCCTTCAGAAATCATTGTAATTTGATGCTCAAGAAACATTTCTGATTATTATAAGTGTTAAAAAAAACAGTTGTGCTGCATAGAGAAAGTTCGAAGAACAACATTTATTTGAAATGGAAATCGTTTGTATTATCATAAATGACTGTATTGCAATTTGATGCACAATTCCTTAATAAAAGTAACATTTTTTTTTTTTATTGTGATCATTCACTTTCTGACTAAATTTAATTTCCCTCAATATCATTTCAAGCTGTTTATGAGAAGCTTTTGCTCTTAACAGGAGTCAGAAGAGGACCGACAGAGCAGCGACCACCATAGGAGTATTAGACCAGGTACCATTCTCCAGATATCTGTCTTATTTATTTATCTGTTTGTTTATTTACTTATGTATTAACTGAACTGAACTTAACTTAACTGAACCTAACTTAACTGAACGTAACGTAACGTAACGTAACTTAACTTAATTCCCAAGCCACAATAATAATTTACAACCATAGTGACCATTTGTATAATCTTACTTGCGTACTGAACTGAACTTAACTTAACTTAACTTAACTTAACTTAACTGAACTGAACTGAACGTAATGTAATGTAACGTAACGTAACGTAACGTAACAGAGCAGCGACCACCATAGGAGTATTAGACCAGGTACCATTCTCCAGATATCTATCTTACTTATTTATATGTTTGTTTGTTTATTTACTTACATACTAACTGAACATAACTTAACTTAACTGAAAGTAACTTAACTTAATTCCCAAGCCACAATAATCATTTCAAACCATAGTGACCATTTGTATAATCTTCCTTGCGTATTAACTGAACTGAACTGAACTTAACTTAACAACTTAACTGAACTGAACGTAATGTAACGTAACAGAGCAGCGACCACCATAGGAGTATTAGACCAGGTACCATTCTCCAGATATCTATCGTACTTATTTATATGTTTGTTTATTTACTTACGTACTAACTTAACTTAACTTAACTTAACTGAACATAACTTAACTGAAAGTAACTTAACTTAATTCCCAAGCCACAATAATAATTTCAAACCATAGTGACCATTTGTATAATCTTACTTATGTATTAACTGAACTTAACTTAACAACTGAACTGAACTGAACTGAACTGAACGTAACGTAACAGAGCTGCGACCACCATAGGAGTATTAGACCTGGGGGCTGTTTCATAAAAGACGCTTAGAAAAGCGGGGATTAAAGTCCAAAACCTGACTTGAAATAACCTAACAAATCAATCCGGACTAAAGCGGTTTCATAAACGACAATTTAAGTTCAAGCAATCTCACTAATTCGATCCAGGTTCAATGAGTCAGGATAATTTTATGTGCACAGATTTATTCTTAAGCAGCCGTTAATGTCGATCATGGATCAAATACTGTCATAAAACCAGAGAGAAGGCTGCATGGCTAGAATCTGCTGTTCAACTGAATGCGCATGTAGCCTATATTTTTATTTATTTGATTTATTTAAGTTGCATTTTCTGTA